TTAGAACATTGAAGGCTTTAAAGAACTTTTGAAGGCCTGCCTGAGAACCAGGCATAAAGTGACTTTTATAGAATATACCCAGGTTGCAAAACTTAGCTTCTAGAATTAACACCCCATAATCTACTAGTCCAGTATTCTTAGGAAGAGTCATCCTAAGACAACTCTGGTGCTGAACACAGGTGATCTACCTGAGCATATAGGTCCAGTATTCAATATTCTGCTCTCTATGTGGTCCCAGACATGGTAATAGTCACAAACAAAGGTTGGAGAGACTTGATAATCAATATAAGCCTCAGAAAAAAACAAATCACAGCCAGTTCTTGCAGTGATTTATTGACCTACCCTTTAGCTACCCCTTTAGCCAAGCATATATACATCTTGTTCAACAAAAAATAATTATCTGCACTAAAATTAAACCTTATGTTGATAGTAATAGCATGACATAGATATATTATTTTAGACAATTGCCTTACATTTAATATTCTGATTTCTGAAACACATTCTGTTCAGGAAAAGAGGAAACAATGTCTCCAAATTCTTGATCCAATAGAAATTAAATAATATTAAAAGGAAGAGTCCTGAGACAACAGTGTGAGGTTGAGAAAAGATCTGAAATGACAAGATGAGCAATTAATACTGGAATTGCTATTAGTCCGGTAACCTACAGCAAGTCACAGAGTCTCAGTTTCTTCATCTTGCAAAGTAGAAATACTCTAAGTAGTGTGGCTGGGCAAAGTTAAAGTAGGCCATCAGAAAACACTTTGTAGTCTATAGGGCGTTATCTCATCCAGGCCCCCACTCAAAGTACAAACCTACTGTTTAGCATCACTGACAGCCTCTTCTTGATCACCTCTAGTGACAGGGAACTCATCTTTGGAAGATCATTTTGGACAGCCCTAATGACAGAAAAGCATATATATAAAGTGCGTGTGAGTGCAAACATACACACATGTATACATACACACACCTATGTGCATACATACACATATATGTAGGCACATATATATGTGGCATATATATATATATATATATATATATAGGCATATATATTTAGCCATAATAAATTCCTCCAACATCAGCTTCCTGGTTAATGCTGATCATCAAATCTAGCTTAGAGCTTCCTTCAGTGAAGGAACAGCTCAGTAAGAATCTCTTCTATAGGAACAGGAACATGGGAACATTTGTCACAGAGCTGATGACCACCCTTGCTGTGTTTTGTTAATAACTGATTTATCTTGCTTATCACGCCTACTCCAGGCAAATAGAATGAGTTCGCTTTCCCTGAGTTCCAGGAAGGAGGAAGCCAACACAGATGAAAAGGTCCCTGCACTGTCCAAGAGAGTAGTACTAGCCACACAACTATTTCAATTTGAATTAAATTAAAATTTTAGTTCCTCCTTTCACAGGATCAGTAGCCATATATGATTAGTTACTACGTGGCACAGATATCAAACATTTCTATTGTGACAGAAATTGTTTGAAGAGCTGTGGTTGATGATTCATTATCACCTACAATGTGCTGGGGACCAGTTAAACTCTACATGCAATCACTAAAACATCAGTAGTGAAAGTTTCCTATCCTTTGAAAAAATTACATAATAGCATGATTTCTAGCAGAGTTCTTACTCTGGACAGTTCAAGAGAAAGGGGGGCTTTTATTCCCAAATGAATATCCTAGGCTTCACACTCTTTCCCAACAATCTTAAGAAAATGGAGATGGTATTAATTGGTTACCTATGTTGCTCTCAAACACTCATTTCCAACTCACATTTGGAGATCCGAGTTTCTCTCCAAGCCAAGGGTCTTTAAATCATGAGGTGCCACACCCACATCGGAACTAAACAAAAGTTGAAACTTTAAATTGGCAAATGTTATTGCTTATTTCTTCCTGACAAGTGAAGACCTATGGTTAATTCAACCATAGGATATGATGAAATAACTACAGTTACTGAGTTACACTATTTCTTTCACCACATATCTATCTGAGTGAAGAAGTCCCACTTGGATACTATCTGTAGAGCTTTATATTAACTTTTCTTTAGGAACAAGAAAGTGTCCATGCTATCTTTGTGTTTAAAACATAACTGGGGAAGGTGCACCACAAAAGAATGGGATTCTCTCTGAAAGCATATTTAGCTACTGTCACAGCTTTAATTGGGAAGGGAGAAATAGTTACATCTGGCTAGGTCTGCTCTTCAAGAGCTGGGGCCAGTTATTTGCCATCCCTCAGCCCTGGTCTTTTCCTCTGTAAAACAGCAGGATTGGAGTATATGATCAGAAAGGTTTCTGTAATTCCCATGACTTCCCGAAATAACTACGACCCACATCCTATCTATAAACCTCACATAGTTCTCTCCCTAACCCATGCGACTATCACAACCCTCCCACAGCCTTTTTTTTAGGACTTAGTAAATCGTTAGGACAAATAACAGTACTCTACTCATAGGCTTTATCTTATAAGCCCGTATCCTGGATGAGTTTCCAGCAGTGGTCGGTAAACTACTGCCCAAAGGCCAAGTCTGACTTACCTCCTATTTCTGTACACCAAGGAGCTCAGAATAATATTTACATTTTTAAATGGCTGGAAAAATAAAATGAAGAATAATATTTCATGTCATATGAAAATCTTATGAAATTCAAATTTCTTTGTCTATAAATAAAGTGGTATCGAAACCCAGGCACATCCATTCATTTATGTATTGTCTATGGATACTTGTGGTCTACATAGCAGTCTTGAGTGGTATGTGGTCATACCACTATGACTACATAGTCTACATACCACTATGTATGTGGACTCTCTCATACAGAGACTGTATGGCCCATAGGCCTAAAATATTTACTACCCGGTAGCCGGGCACAGTGCTCAGCCCACTTTGGGAGGCCAAGGCGGGCAGATCACCTGAGGTCAGGAGTTCCAGGCCAACCTGGCCAACATGGTGAAACCTCATGTCTACTAAAAATACAAAAAAAATTAGCTGGGTATGGTGGCAGATGACTGTAATCCCAGCTACTCGGGAGGCTGAGGCAAAAGAATTGTTTGAATTGGGAGTCGGAGGCTGCAGTCAGCCAAGATCGCACCACTGCACCCAACCTGGGTGACAGAGCGGGACTCCATCTCCAAAAAAAAAAAAAAAATTTACTATCTGGCCCTTTACAAAGTTTGCTGCCTCTTGGTGTAGAGCACAGACTCTGGAGTCAGCACAGACTCTGGAGTCAGCTCTGTTCTGTTCCTTCCCCTTCCTCAACTGTACAATGAGAATGATGATAGTACCTATCTCATGGGTTTTATTAAGACTAAGCAGATAAGTAAAATGCTCAGATGAGGATCTGGCATATTTTTATTATTCTATATATGTCTGTTATTATAAGTTCCCACAATTTTTCCCACAAACTAAAGTATTAGCAGCTGACCAATTTGCTAGCAATAATTGTAAGAATTGAATTTGCAGCACTTCGTTAAAATTCAGTTCTTTACAGTAAAGCAGTAGGAAGATGTCTAAGGACAAATGATACGACAATTCGTACAGCTCCACAAAGCTAATTCTACATTACTTAAAAATGTTTTATATGCTTCATACTTTTTTCAAACTTGAGTCTTGAGCTTACACTCAACTTTGAGTTCAGCCCTGACATCTATTCCTTATAGTTGGTTACTTCTTTCTGAAGAAACAGGCTTTCAAAGAGAGACCAGGGGGCCTATAAGATGTCTCACCTTAATGATTGCTACCTTGATGACTGAAAACAGTAACCTGTGTCCTGAATCGAACACAAAACAGGCAACAGGCAGTATAGTTGCTACAACAGGGACTATTCGAATTTTTCTGATGATTTAGACTTTCGTTTTCAACAGGGCTTACAAGGGATGTTACAGGAGAAAAACAATGAACATAATGAGGACAAAGCCTATGAATTTAGAATTTAGAAAGGAGGAAGCCAGTCCACCACAGTGAAAAAGCACAGTACCACATTGGCGGGGCGCTCCAATATTTGTGGAATGTTGATAACACTTTCAATGTTTCTGTGCAACCTCCACAACAAAATACTGTGAATCTTGCTTATTAATGCGTTTCTCAATATTTTAAAATTCAGGAAATCATTAAGTCTAGTTCTTAACAGTGAAAGGCAAGCAATTTTCTGTGTCATTGAAATTACACAAAACAAAACAAAAAGCTCACGCCTGAATTGCTTCAGACTGTTCAACTGGGAGAAAGAAAAATATGTGAAGTAAAGAAAAATAACCTACATTGAAGTTCCTATCTCTTATCTTCCAGAATACTTACCAGCACACTCTTAGTGTGTTCTAAACTTTCCTTATATAAGAAGCAGCTGAATAATTTTAGGAAAATGGATTGTTTTGTCTGACTCATTGAGAAAATTCAAACAATTCATTTTCCTAAGAGCGATCTGGGTGAGGCTGTCCTGCCAGGAAAACGCCCTCTGTCCTACTCAGGATAGGAGCCACGCCAATTTAAACAGGCAAGAAATTGTCCCCTAGGAAGGAAATATGCCGTTGTCGTTCAATGAACTTTGCGACCAACCGCAAGCCAAACTCTCCCTCGCAGTTTGTCAAGTTAATTCCTGTTTTCCAAAGGCGCTTTTGTATTTTCACCTTTCAATGTCTCCTTCAACCGCCGGCACCTAAGATTTCCCCTAATGCATTCAGCCCCTGCCTCGCGATAGTGCGCTCTGCTTATAAAGCTCCGTCCTGTCCAATAAAGTAGTTTAAAGTAAGAAATGTGTCGGATAATAGTAGGAAGGAAACATAAAAGGAAACAAAGAATTCCTGGCGTGGTGTATTGGTGTTGGAATGTGCCATTAGTTTCAGAGGGAGGAAACTCCCTGGCGTGAATTACCTCGCAGGTCGTAGGCCACCGCTGGACCTTCGATCGTGCATGGCATTGGCACCGAAATGGCAAACCTACGAAGAAGCGCGCAGGAAGGGGAGCCACGGCCGCGCGCAGAGGCGGGAGCTGGAGGCGGCTGCCGGGCGCGTCCCCCACGCCCTCGTGGCGCGCTCGGGGGCGGCCCCCTCGCAGCGGGGCGGGGCGGGGCAGGCGGCGGCGAGGCCTGGAGCGCAGGGCGAGGGCGGCGGCGGCGCAGTCTGCACCATGTCGTACCCGGGGCATCCTGGCGCCGGCGGCGGGTACTACCCAGGCGGGGTAAGTGCTGACTGAGCGGGATCGCGGCCCAGGTGGCTCCGGGGTGCAAAGAGGCCACCTTGGAGATGCTGCAGCCAGCGGGGTGAGGCCCTGGTGGGCGGCTGCCCGGGCTCCTCCCGCCCCCAGCTTCTCCTTGCGCTCGCGGCCTCGCCGTAGGCCCCTGCGGTTCGGCCTCTTCCCTCGTCTCTCCGGTTCCTTCTCCCGGATGGCTCTGCGGGTCCAAGGTGCGGGTGGATTGGGAGCCAAGAAGCCCACCTTGCGGCTTATCGGATACGCGGCGTGAAATCGTGTTAATGAGTGTTGGCTGACCCCCCACCCCACCCCACCCCGCCCCTTGGTTGCCTCCCAGAGCAACAACAGTCATTTTATTCTAGAATGATTCTGCGATCTACCTTCTTCCCTTTAAAAAAAGTGTGTAGGGGGACGGGAAAAAAGGAAAAACCTGCTGGAGTAAAAGACCGCCTTGCCGGGCGTCTGGGATGTGCGTTGTCTTGGGAACTGTTTCCGAGACAGGGTGTTCCCTCGCCAACGAAATACAGCCCGGCCAGACACCTTTCTCTTCCCTAGGCTACACCCGTCTCAGGATGTTACCAACTCCAGCCTTCCATCGTTGTTAAAACGCTTTTAAAATACCATAAAAGCTGTAACAACAAAAGGAGAATTCCAAGCCCTGCCTTTCAGTGGCTTGCTTAGTTCGCACTCACCTCAGTAGCCTGAAGGTTAATAGGGATTTTAAAAGTTGCTTTACATATGCAGACATCACTTTCACAGCAACTCTGTATGGTCCAAGTAGCCAGTTTTTAAATTACGGAGTGAGAATGGAAGAGAGGAGTGGGATGGTGGCAGTTTGAGTGAGCCCCGTGGTGGGCAGGTGAGCCTTGTGAAGCGGGAGGCGGGAGGCGGGAGGCGGGGGGCGGGGGGCGGGGGCCGGCGGCGGGCAGTTGACTGGCCTTGCACAAAAGCCTTCAGTGGTGAAAGAAGAAAACTTGATTGGCAGAATGATGTCTATGTGTTTCCTGTTTCACAGTATGGAGGGGCGCCTGGAGGGCCTGCGTTTCCCGGACAAACTCAAGATCCGCTGTATGGTTACTTTGCTGCTGTAGCTGGACAGGTTAGCTTTTCCCTTTAATATTAAAGAGTTATTATAGTCAGCATTTGTGGTAGCTTTTGATATAGTGACACAGAAAAGCGAACTTCTTCTGGAACTGAGTCCCTTTGCTTCTGCAAAAGAAAAAAAGAAAGAAGGAAAGTTGTTTCTTTAGTTTTTTTAGTTCTGAATGTTCAGAACAAATTAGGACAAAGTGTTACTCGTATTTATGTGAGTTCAGCTCGAAACCAAACTTGTAGTTGGATTAAAGGGTTCAGGGTGGTTTTAAGTGAAGAAATTCAAGATCTGGTAAATATACAACTTAAAGACATATATTAGTAATTATGTAACCAGATTCTAATAGACACTTTCTTTGGGTTGAACTTGATTGCTAATCATTCACCCCCTTAGGAAATATGGTAAAAACCCACCAGCTTAAGAAAGTAACTGCTCTTCTATCAGGAAGTTAATCTTGTGAACAATGTAGTTTCTCTTTGATGCAGATGCTTTTACTAGGTCCGCCCCTCCATGTCCTTATTAGGTGTTGTGACCTGTTGACCCAGGGAAGCAATTAAGGTCAGCTCCCCAAGACATTTTACTTGTCTGCATTCTGAGTTGTGTGACAGGTGCTGTCTTACATTGAGAGAGGATCCTTCCTTGGCTCACAAGGTCACTGTGTGCAGTAAATATACTGTTGGTATAACCCAGACATGTCCAAGCAGAGACGATGTTTGTTATGAATTCAACCTAGTTTTGACCAAAAACTAAAAATAGCAAAATCTTATTGTGAAAACTGTAGAATCTTATGGGATAAAAACCTCAGACCACTTTTTAACATAGCACTCTGAGAAATACAGTTTAAGAAGTTGAATGGAAAATATAGTCTAAAACTGGAAGACTTTCCCTTAAGTGTCTACTTAATCTGTTAATGATCCGTGTCTTTGAAACCTCAAGACGTGGCAAACCTCAAGACTATAGCATTCTTAGATTGCCAGTGCCTCCAGGATGTAAGTGACCCCACCTGCTTAGCTTTCAGCAGCCCTGGCCTGCATTCAGCATACCCATTGTCTTTCAAATTATTGATCCTGCTCCTCATTTATACCTTATAATAGCCAGTGACTTGAGGATTTAGGTATTTTATTTAAAAATCCCTAAAAATCACATGTATCTAGTTCTTTCCCAGTTCAGTCAATGAATGGGCACTAGGAATCCAATGGGCATCTTCCAGATGTATATGTGCTCTTAAAAAAACCATTCACTGTATCATAAGAAAAGGTGACCAAGGAGGCCACTTTCTGTTTGAACCAAGCCTTCTATTCACTGGTGTCTGCTGTGTATCCTACTCTCTCCATTCCCCTCAAAAAAAAGAAAAGAAAAGAAAACGAAGAACTATGATTTTAAGCAACTTGCATAAATATTTTAAAATGCTTACCTGTAGCAGTTTCCTAGCTCAGATTGAGAGAAAAGTAGTCCAGACAGACTCTTTCATCATTAAATTACTTTTGGAAGTGGGTTAAGGAAAAGAATGCTCACTTTTGGAAGGCATTCCTTTTAATAAAAAGTCAATGCATGACGATACTGATTTTCTTTGTTGTTATTGCTTCATTGAATGCTGAAGGTAAACAAATAACTTGAAAGTACTAATCACTATTATGATTCCTCTAATGTTTTTAAAGGACGGCCAGATAGATGCTGATGAATTGCAGAGATGTCTGACACAGTCAGGCATTGCTGGAGGATACAAACGTAAGTTGACAGTCTCAAAGTTTGTCTAAATGTACTCTTGTGTTTCCTATTTTAGCTGTTACTTCTGATTACAGCCTTCAAGGAAAAAGCTTTTCTGATCCAGCAACGTTTAGAATTCTAAAAGCTAAAATAGATTACTATTTCAAAATGTTGATTTGAAAACAGCTCTTAAATCACTCTAGGCTGGGTACAATGGCTCACACTTGTAATCCCAGCACTTCAGATGCCCAGGCGGGAGGATCACTTGAGGCCAAGAGTTTTTGGCTGCAGTAATCTATGATTGTACCACTTCATTCCAGCCTGAGCAGCAGAGCAAGATTCTGTCTCTAAAATAATAATAATAATAATAATAATAAATTACTCCATTCTACCTGCCAATTCAGTGGATTTCTCAGATTTGGGTTTTGTGTACCTAGAACCAGTGATACAGTTTGGGTGGCCTCTTTCACAGAGGACAAGGTAGCGTGCTGAAATGAAATCCACCAGGTCAGGTGTCATTAACTGACATTTGGAACTGACATTTGCTATTAATTGCCAAGAGCCTACTCTGCCCTGACCTGGTGGCACTAAGGCTTTGAGTGGCTGGTCCTGCACCCCTGTCCCTGAGTGGCCTGTCCTGCCCCCCTGGTCTCTGAGCTTTGGGCATGCTCCTGTTAACATAAGTGCTTGCCATGACATCCCTCAGGTCTTTCCTCTTCCACTTCATAGTATGTGTTCAGGCTAAGTGGGAAGTACACTTTCTACTTACTGGATCTGTTGCACCATAATTCAGCTCTTACCCCACCTTCCTGCCTTTTGAGCACTCTGCCATGAGCTGTGAGTAGTGAAATAATGCAAAATGGCTGCATCCCTGGCTGAGCACAGTGGCTCATACCTGTAATCCCAGCAATTTAGGAGGCTGAGGCGGGAGGATCACTTGAGCCCAGGAGTTCAAGACCAGCCTGAGCAACATAGTGAGACCTTGTGTCTCAGAAAATTTAAAAATTAGGCATGGTGGCATGCACCTGTCATCCCAGCTACTCAGGAGGCTGAGGCAGGAGGATTACTTGAAGCCAGGAGGCAGAGGTTGTTGTGAGCCAAGATTGTGCCACTGCACTCCAGCCTGGGCAACAGCCTGTCTCAAAAATCCATAAAAGTGCTAAATCCCAACTGGGGGCTTCTCGTCATCCTATACACATACAGTGGTTCCTCTTGAAATTAGATCATGAACATGATAGATTTCCAGGGTAGAGAATAATGTCTTAGTTCAAATACATTATCTGCCAACTTCTTTGCCAGTTGTTAATTGAGATAGAACATCAAATTGAAGACCCAGTTTCATAGCTGTAGATTAAAATGTTCAAAGTAGAATTCACACCTGTGAATTTATAGTGGCTTTTTAAAAAAACAAACACTATTTGACTTGGCATGTATTAGATGGCTCTCTGAACTCTGCGTTTGTTTTCATCATCCTTTGTTTTACATGACTTTAGTATCCTATTACTATTTCCTAATTAGAGGAATTAATACAAACAAAGAACCTTTCAAGTTCCTGTTATTTAATCTAGTCCTACACAAAAGGAGCACTTTCTGATTTTTTTTCTTTATTGTGTAGGCAGTACATTTAAATTGTTCACTGTTAACCTCAAGCAGTAGAGCTGGTAAATGAGGTAGGCCTACCTAATAGCAGGGTTTATCAAAGTGCAGTGAGATCCCAGCATGGCCTGTGACTCTACACCCTTTCAGTAGATGAGATGTGGCAGATTTTAGCATCTGACTAACAATATGGGTTATGTACTCTTAGAGAGCAGTCCTTTTAAAATTTCATTGAGAAAGCCACATTTAGTGACGGGCTTAGGTCAATGCATTAAAGAGAAGGCATTTCCTGAGTCATGGGACTATGTGATTGAATCATTTGCCTACTGTCTCGCAGCTGTACTAAACCACAGAACCATCCTGCCTGTCAGGTTACTGATATTATATGGCCATTAGTCTTTTAAACCCAGCTTCCAAACCAAAAAGCACAGATCTGAATTGGATAGGCAGGTGGGATACTCCAGTTCAGTGCCTATGGGCCCTTCTTAACCAGTTTAAAAGGAAGCAATCATACCTAGAGGTAGAGTTGGTGAAAGGCTGTGTTCCAATCAGTAAGATTGTAATTCAGCTTCTCTTTTTCCCTTGAATTTAGTTGTTCCTCTTTGGTAAGGTTGAGAGAAACAGCTGGAGATAGGGCTTTCTTTCTAGGTCCATTATATTGTATGTTTCTACAAGAAGAAAAGATGTTTGAGGCATTCTAGTAGAATGAATAGAAGAGAAGAAAAAGAGTAAAGGTAAAATCATAGCAGTGATTCTTTGAAGATTATTAAAATTAACATCAATTTAAATTTAATTTGTTTTTAAAATGTTGAATAATTTTAATTTATAGTTATATGTAGTTGCATTTATATTATAGCCATATAATATATAATACTTATAATTTTAATTAATAATTGTAAGTAATTAGAGTTAACACCAATAAAAGCTATTTCTGGAAGAAAAATACTATGAACAAAATTGAGCAAGAGTTTTCCGTACCCAAACTTATTGGACATCAGCGTTCTAGTTCATTGGAACTATCTGGATTGATACATTTTTTGTTCATTCACTTTTGTTCACTGCCATCTCACTTCCCTTTCAGATTCTTCTCACACAAATGGCCAGATTGCCAACCTTCCTGACACACAGCTCTAACCTGTCCTCCTCCTCTTCAGTCGTTACTAACGGCTTAGAAGGAATTCAAGGTCTTCTATAATGCAGCCTCCCCGACCAACCATATCTGCTTCCACTTCTTTTGTGCTCTTTGCAAGTTATATTGAGCTTATACTTTGCCTATCCTGGGCCTTCTACTTCTTTCTTTGCTTATGCTGGTCCTTAGCTGTCACCAAATGCCCCCATCATTCTTGTCATTAAAGGCTTGGCTTAAATTCTATGTCTTCTATGAAGTCTTTCTTGATTCTCTTACTAGGAAGGAGCCTCTCACTCCTCAATCCCTTCTGGTACTTTTTGGCACCTCCATTATAATTCGGCACTCTACCATGATTAGGGTTGTATGTGTATGTGGCTTATCTTTTCCTTAGACTGTCAGCTAGGTCAGTATGCAGTTTCACATTTGTGTCTCTAAAGTTCCTGTTACCCTGAACCCTGAACATAGTAAGTACTTAACAGGTGGCTGCTGAGTTAATAAATATGGAAAATTTTCTAAGATAGAAAAATCATAGCCCTGTAGCCTCACTGACATTTTGATTTAAAATTATATATATACTTAAATTTTGAGTATTAGACAAGATCGGATTTTATTCACAAAACACATTCCTTCTTAGATGTCTGTCTAAGAGGGCTGTACATATAAAATGCAGGGCTCTACAGCTTCCTGCATGGGGGTGAGAATTCGGTGCCATCTATCCATTCATTTATCCAACCAGTACATTTTTAGTGGACACTTCCTATGAGCTGGGTGCTGGTTGTGCAGCCACAATCAACGCCTGGATGTTGGGAAAAGTAAGAGAGAGGCTGTGAAATCACATAGGATGGACATGCAACCCAGACAGGAATCAGGAAAGTTTTCCATGCAGAATTGATACTTAGCTGAGCAGAAGTGAAATTCCAGCAGAAATGATGCTGACCATGAAGTGAGTGGGATGGGAAGTTGTGTCCTAGGCAGTTAGAACAGCATGTGCAGAAGACCCAGAAAGGGCATGGTTCAGTCAAAGAACTGAGAAATTCTCCATGAAGATATGGGTTGAACCAGAGTAAAAGATGAGCCTGGCAAAATAAGTGTATGACCTTATATGCCAGTTAAGGTGCTTGGACTTTATCCTGAAAGCAGTAGATCCCTGATACTGGGTTTTACAAAGGAGAGCACATAACCACCCCTGACTGTAGGGTAAAGACTAGTAAACTGGGGGACATGGGAGTAAAACAAGAGTCAGGGATGCCCATTAGGGAGCTGTTGGAGTCATACAGGTGAGCAAAATGCTAACTAAAGTGATAGTGGGGCTGGAGATGGACTCTACAGCTGTTTAGAAAGTGATTAATTGGGGAGAGGGAATTGAGGCGGCTCCCAGGTTTCTGACTTGAGTGACTGCGGAGTGGATGGGTATGCCATTCATTAAACAGAAACAGAGAAGCTATCTGCCTCATGGCCCCTTTAATACCTTCAATGTGAGCCCAACAAAGTCGGCTCTGCCCTGTGGTTATCAAGCCATCCAGAGCAGTAGTTCATAAACTTGAGCAGCATTGGCATCACCTGGAAAGCTTACAAAAACCAGATTGCTGGGTCCTGCCCCAGAGTTTCTCATTCAGATGTCTGGAGTGAGCCCTGAGAATTTCACCTTTAACAAGTTTCCATGTGATGCTGGTTCAGGTTGAGCCAGCTGCTTTAACATGAATATATATCACCTTTATCATGAATATATATCACCTGCGCAATCCCATCCTCCTGAGTAGCTGGGATTACAGGTGCATACCGCCACGCCTGGCTAATTTTTGTATTTTTAGTAGAGACAGGGTTTCACCATGTTGGCCAGGCTGGTCTCAAACTCCTGACCTCAGGTGACTGCCTGTCTCGGCCTCCCAAAGTGCTGGGATTGCAAGCTGATAAAATTCACCTTCTTATTTTATTGGTGTAGGTTAAGGGCTGCAATTCTGCAGTTCTTCAGGCTCCTGGGTGATGCTAATATGGCTGATCCAGGAGTCACACTTTGAGTAGAATGGTGGTCTCAACCTTGGCTGCTAACTAGAATCATCTGAAAAGCTTTTAAAAAATATGACTACCCAGGTCCCACACTCAGAGTTCCTGATTTAATTGTTCTGGGGTGCAACCCAGGTATCAGAATCTTCTAAAGCTTTGATTCTGTTAAGCACCAGGATTGAGAACTACAGCTCCAGATTAGAGCGACTTCATACCACCACACAACTTAAGTCAGAATGAAGAATCTACCCAGCTCTTTCCCAAAAGTGTAAATGTGCCTCTCCTCCTCTGGAGAGGAGGATCCAGAGAATATTATCTGTGGATCAATGGAGATTGAAATAGAAACAGTGGAATGAAAGCAGAATGGAATCGGAAGTAGAAATAGTCACCAGTCTTTTATTTCCAGTAAAGCTTATGCCAAACACAGGAATCTATTAAATGTAAAACCTAGTTTGCACTGTTGGGAGACATTACAGTAATTAGTTAGCTCAGTTATGTTTTAATTTCATTTTGGTTAGAGAAAAAATATGAAGCTAGAAAGAGCTGTAAAAAATGTTAGCTCTGTGTGTTAACAAACTTGCAGAATTTATACCAGCTTTTCCCACATGACTCTGGTCACTTCTGCCATTTAGCCTTATAGTTTCTTAGTACCTTTGCAGTTTTGTCAGTCATTAAATCCCATTAATACCATGTAAGATGTAAAAGGTTGTTTTAAATTTCCTATTTCTTAGATTACCAGTAACCTCACCCATTGCATGTGCTCTGGTTTAGTTAACGTAAGTGAGGTACCAAAATGCCCTCAGAACAGCCCTAAACTGTAGCTAAGTTAAAAAGGCTTCTAAACAGTGACCACCACTGAATTGGTCATGGGGTCTTATCCAGAGTGCTCTGATTTAACACATAATTCTAACAAGCATATTTACCTGGTTTCATATATAAGCTAAGAGGTCATAGACTACTTGAGGTAGGAAATTTCTGTTCAGTACCTGACATTGAAGGGAAAATAGAAAAAGAAATAATCAGACACAAAATTAGCAAACTCAACAACTTATGGTCATTTATGAGTAGGAACAAAGCAACCCTACCTTCCCACCCACCATGTTGGATATAATACATTATGGTTTGTTATGGTGACTTGAAAACATACTATAGTAGTTTCAGAGCACGAAAGTATGAACAGTATACTATGTAATCCTTATTTATTTATTTATTTTTTTTTTGAGACAGAGTCTCTTGCACCCAGGCTGGAGTGCAGTGGCACCATCTCGCTCACTGTAACCTCCTCCTGCCAGGTGCAAGCAATTCTCCTGCCTTAGCCTCCTGAGTAGCTGGGATTACAGGTGTGTGCCACCACACCTGGCTAATTTTTGTATTTTTAGTAGAGATGGGGTTTCACTGTGTTGGCCAGGCTGGTTTCAAACTCCTGACCTCAGGTGATCCTCCTGTCTTGGCCTCCCAAAGTGCTGGGATTACAGGCATGAGCCACTGCACCTTGCTTGTATAATACTTTTTAAAATGAATTCTGTCAAAGTGATTTAAATCAGATTTAGGTTCTAGTGAAAAATCCTCTTTATGGAGAAAAAGCTACCTTGAAGTTCCATATGATTAGTCACACATAAATTGAGTAGCATGTAAACATAAAAGTATATAATAATCATTTTTCTAATTAATTTGAATGTATCCAGTGTAATGTGAATTTTTGGAGTTGTGTTAATATGTGTGTACTTTTCTTAACAGCTTTTAACCTGGAGACTTGTCGGCTTATGGTTTCAATGCTGGATGTATCCTTTACCCTGATTTTGTCTAGAATAATTTTTTCTAAAATTCTAAAGGAATTCATCTTACAATTAATACTTAGTAAACACAAAGTAATGAATGATCACTAAAAAGCTTTCTGAAATTATTAGCTTCTATTATAGGATGTAATTTGGTATGAATAAAGGAAGAAAATAAATTTAGTAAACAGAATGTTGTTCAGAAATTCAAGGAAACATCAAAGTATTATAGTATTATAGAACAAGTATAGAGTCTAGAGTGTCAGGAAAGCCTTTTTATTCTTTAACATTGATTGCTCTGCAAGTGATGGGATTTTTCACATCCCAGTTGTTGGACTGAGTTTAGCTACTGCTGACCATCCAGTGCATTCCATCCCACCTCAGTTGTCTGGGAGGATTAAACAAGGGAATATTTGTACCAGAAATGACACTAGGACAGAAGGGCAAACAGCATAGCCTGAAGCATGCAGAAAGTACAGCCTAGTTGCACTGACAAGACCGCTTTTTATATGTGGCTCACAATGGCAACACTATTTCCTTATCATCAGGTCATGTAAGTTATCTTTTTCCCATAGTTAAAATAGGTACTTGCGGTTTTTCTCCATAGCCATTTTTTATTATATTTTTAACTCATGAATCTTACATCATACCAAGAATAATCTCCAATAACTTTTGTAGCCATTTTAGTGGAAAGAATATTGAATTCCTCTTAAACTTGATCTTTCATTTAATCCTTAGAAAATATTTCAAAAATTCAGCTGTGATCCTTGATTATAGTTCAGAGAGATATGTCTGGCACAATGGGTTTCAATGAATTTAAAGAACTCTGGGCTGTACTGAATGGCTGGAGACAACATTTTATCAGTTTTGACACTGATAGGAGTGGCACAGTAGATCCACAAGAATTGCAGAAGGCCCTGACAACAATGGGTGGGTATGGCTTACTAGAACTCTCCCATTCATTAGTAGAAGTAAGTTGTTTTTTATTTTTAAAACTAGGCTGGGTGCGGTGGCTCACACTTATAATCCCAGCACTTTGGGAGGCCAAGGTGGGTGGACTGCCTGATCTCAGGAGTTTGAGACCTTGGCAACGTGGTGAAATGCCATCTCTACTAAAATACAAAAAAATTAGCCAAGCATGGTGGCATGCTCCTGTAATCCCAGCTACTCTGAAGGCTGAAACAGGAGAAGCACTTGAACCTGGGAGGTGGAGGTTGCAGTGAGCCGAGATTGCACCACTGCACTCCAGTCTGGGCAACAGAGTGAGACTCCCTCTCATAAACAACTAAATAAATAAATAAATTGCTACCTGAAGGCAGTTTCTGTTTTCTTAGAAATTGTGTGTATTCCTAATTAAAATAAGTTCGCAGTCTTAAAAAATAGTGCTTGATTATTTTATTTTTTAATGGGCTTTTGCAATCCTTTAACCTTTTTATTGGATGACTTTTTTCTTTCTTTTAGGATTTAGGTTGAGTCCCCAGGCCGTGAATTCAATTGCAAAACGGTACAGCACCAATGGAAAGATCACCTTCGATGACTACATTGCCTGCTGCGTCAAACTGAGGGCTCTTACAGGTGAGTTCCATGGGGTCATGTCATCACCACAAGCCAAGACAGTTTTTATCACATTTAATCTCTCGGTGCTTCTCAACTTTTATTCTTCCCCAATTTTTTTTTATTGCTTTAGTAGTTTTTTCAGATTACTATTAAGCATATCTAGCAGAATAAATTTTTGGTTTTTTTTTTCCAGAACTTATTTTGGATTAGTGATCTGCCATTAAAATAACTAAATTTTACTAAAATGTTCTAAAACATAATCAGCTAACTTGTGCGTTTTTGATCAGATTATGAGGAATTTTTCCCTAGAATGTGGAATTTGGAAAGAGTAAAAGTAAAGCCTTTTTTATAGGGTAAAGCTGAAATGGCGGAGAAACTGATCACAACACATTTGTTGTATCAGGGACTCTCTGCTTTTTAAGCAGTATCTTTGTTATTCAGAAGCTAGAAATTCTTTCTGTAAGCAGTAATGCCTGCTTTTATCACAATTAAGTAATGGCCATGGAAGTTGTACAGCTTTTACTGACTTTGGGTAAGATATTTTCTCCAGATCCACATTGAAAAAGACAGCTGGCCAACTTCGGTCTGTTACTTTGTTGCATATCAAAGATTTTACTATTCATATAGTTGGCTTCTTTGCTTTGGTCTTTATGTTAATTGGTTGCACAATTTAAATGTTATTATAGTGTGAACACAATGCCAAAATAATTAACTTTTTTTGTTGAGATGAAGTCTCACTTTTGTCCCCCAGGCTGGAGTACAATGGCATGATCTTGGCTCACTGCCACCTGCGCCTCCTGTGTTCAAGCAATTCTCCTGTCTTAAGCCTCCCTAGTAGCTGGGATTACAGGCACTTGCCACCATGCCCAGCTAATTTTTCTATTTTTAGTAGAGACAGGGTTTCACCATGTTGGCCAGGCTGGTCTCAAACTCCTGACCTGAGGTGATCTGCTCACCGTGGCCTCCCAAAGTGCTGGGATTACAGGCATGAGCCACCATGCCTGGCCCAAAATAATTATCTTTTATGATTTTAGAAAAAACATTTAAATAAAAACCATACATTTTACTGTGTTGTTTTACAGACAGCTTTCGAAGACGAGATACTGCTCAGCAAGGTGTTGTGAATTTCCCATATGATGATGTAAGTCTTAGAAATTAAGAGATATAATAAATGAAAAAGATGAAGTAGATGAAAAAGGGATACACCAGATGGGATCCCTTTGAAATTAGCTGTTAAGAATATCTTAAGGATGCCAGAGAAATAAGGGATTCAAGGGTTACATAGAAAGAGTTATCCAAAATTTATTAATTTCATGTATTAGTCTTAACTATAGTTAAACCATGGTTTGATTTGCATTCAAAGACCCAGCTTGTTGGATTTAATAGCTGGGTCACTTAAGCAGGTTTCTTAATTGCTGTGACACAATGTGAATAAAGAAGATATAGTAGCAATGCCTTCTTCACTGAGCTGTTGTAAGATTTCTATTAGAAATGCCCTTGAAAAACACTTGCAGATATATTATCTGCTTTTGTCTTCTATAAATAAATCATGTCAGTCATTGAGAACAGAAAACAGCTCAAAGCTATGCTTTGCATTGAGGGTATAAGGCAAGCACTAACTTAAATCACAATGTAAAACAAGTTATTAAACAGCCACACTAAATGAGGGTAGGGCAAGGCCATGTAACCAGTGCGAACATAACCAAGTGCCATCTTTGATGGCGTTAGCTGGATGTATATAACAAAGCTGGGGAGATTGATTACTTGTTTCTTCAGTTTTGCTCAGCCGTTGATTTAAAAAAAAAAAAACTTGTTAGAATTGAAATCACTGTAATCACTGAATATTCTAAAGTGTTTCTCCATTATGAAATATAAGATGCATATATTTTTGGTTTAGCAGTTGCTGCAGTTATTAGTAAACTAATACACTTTTTTAAAAGCTTAGTATGTGTGTGTAAATATGCTTATTTTACTACTTAAGTGTGTGTTCTCTTTAGCATGCATTAACTTCTTAGTTCACAGCCCCCTTGCTCTTTCTAAAGATCAGGAGGCTGCCTGGGGGATGGAAGGACCATGGGCTTTGGCTTCAGACGGGCTACTTAAAAGATTTCTAAACATTCTGATCCTTATTTTCCTTTTCTCTAAAATAGGCATCACATTGAACTTGTGATAGAGCTGCAAGGGTTAGCAGTACACAGTACCTTACCAGTGTAGGGAACACCAATAGAGTAGAATCTACTGCTTTGTTGGGAAGCCAACATTTCACAGCAAATACCGATATTTCCAATTTTCGGTGTCTGAAGGGTTAGCTGTTCTGTTTCTGTGCATGCATATACTTGCATGCTAGGATTTATTTGAATAAAGCAGATTTTAAGGGACTAAACTGTTTAAAGGTGCTCCATTAGAGTAATACTGTGCAGTTTGGAAATCCCCGCATGATACAAAAGTATAAACTCCATTATTTGTGTTTGTGGTGGGTATCTTTGACCATGACCATTTCTAGAGTCTTAGATATTATTAAATAATATTTGAATAATTATTTAAATTAGTTATCCATTGAAGTAGTATCTGCTTTCTGTAAGAAGTTTTGGTGTGAGAAACCCTATGGATTTTACATTAGACCGCTTCTCTAAAAAAAGGAAACTTTTCCATCTGTCATTTAGTGAGGTTTTCAAATTAGAAAACGCAATGTAAGCTGCCAGAAATAGGCTATGCTGTGTAAGTGTTTTGCGGTCTGTTGTATAATGCTGATTTTTCTTTCAGTTCATCCAGTGTGTCATGAGTGTTTAAATCAAGAGGAAGCTGAATGAACATAAATTGACATTCCAACTGGAGCTCTCCTTTGCTTGTCCTCTCTGCCTTCAGTAATATGTGTAAACTTACATCACAACTTTTCAACAGCTGTTTTAAAGTTTATTACTTTATGTGTAACTGAAGTTTTATTTTTAGTTTTGATAATAAATTCTTTGGAACTTTAATAAGATCTAGTCTATTACACCATTTAGAACTTCCTTGAGCCACTGTCAGTCATGCCTTATTTTCTTGCTAAAATCCTCTGTAAATTTAAGTGTGCAAAATGTTTAAATCACATGATTTATTTTTCATTGAGATACTAAAAACTGTTAATCAGAGTACAGCTGCCATCTTTCCTCTCTTAGAAAGACTCCACACATAAAATCTTATATAAATGACACAGACTTAGTTGGGTGCAAAAAAACCAACAAAAATGGTAGTCCAGTAATCCAGGTCAGGATTCACCTTATTAGAAATTTAGCACAGCCCCTTTAAAACCTATGGAATAATTTAATTGGCAAATACTATCTGTCACCAAGTCCCTTTTTGTCATCATCTATTTAAACCTTTGTTAACTATACTTAAAAATCTTGTATATTATAAGCTTAACTATATAAAAAGAAAATTGATAGAAAAAGACTAAGGGAATATATGAAAACATTAACAATGCTTATTTTTGGTTAATGGAATTCTTCTAGATGACCTTAATTTTCTTTATATATTTCAGTATTTTTCAGATTTTCTATATCCTTTCCTTTTTAAATCAGATTTTAGTTTTTAAAATGCTGATACATCCATTTTGATAAGCTATGTGTTCACACTTTAAAAAATATACATAGCAGAGTATTGGAAAGCTGTCCCAAAACATTGATCTGGCTACCACTGGGAGTGAGGATCATGAGTTCATCTTCTCCCTTCTTACTGTTTTTCCAAACATTGTCCAATAAGCAGGTACTACATTTGTAATGGAAGAAATTTTTTTAAAAAATTTAAGCTATATGCCTTCAAGTAAGATCTGAATTCTAATGCTGGCTTGTGCCTCTTATTATGTGGTTTGATCGTTATAGATAATACCAAGTTTCAGTTTCCCCATCTTTGAAAAGAAGATAATATGTTATCTCTTGCGGGTAGCTCTGAATATGGAGTATGTTGATACAAGAAGCACTAACAACTTTCTGTTTCTTAAATTTAAAACTGGTCTGGTTTGCCTTTTTTTTTATCAAGAGAGCTTAACAGATAAAAAATGAAATTAGTCTATTTTCTACTTGTCAGCAGAGTGTCTGTCTTAATTTAGGATGCAGTATGAGAGTTACCATTTAACTGAACAATTAGTTGTCAACCAATGAAAATAAAACATTTTCTTTAAGCACCTTTAGCCTCATTTCACTATTACTTTTTAAAATATTATTAAAGTATATATTCATTCATTTAATAGTTATTAAAACCTAACACGTAATTATGGCAAGTTAGTTAGCCGAGGTTACATAACAGAATGTGAAGCAGCCTGCTATATATTACATGGTGACTATAGGTTTCATCTCCATTTATTGTTTGTGAGGCCACAAAGCTCTGCTTGAGCCTGGGCTGTCTAGAAGAGGGCTAAAAAGAGGCTCAGAGGATTAGGAGGCAGGGAGCTCACCTTCAGTGTCCCAGCACTTGCTGTTTGGTTTCAACTTACCAGGGTCCTCTGAGGAAATCATAGTCTAAGGAGATGGTAACTTTCTGGTTGAGGATAAGCAGTAGGGAAGAAGACCCTTGCTGACCCAAGGTTACAGGCCATAACTGAACAAGTCCCAAGGTGTGCTTCATCAGTTGTGGTTCTGAATTGGCTTTGGGGTGAATGCTAAAGTATTACAAAACCATGCCTCAGACATTGTATTAGTTTGTTCCCACACTGCTATAAAGATACTACCCAAGGCTGTGTAATTTATGAAGAAAAGAGGTTTTAACTCACAGTTCCACATGGCTGGGGAGGCCTCAGGAAACACAAACATGGCGGGAGGGGAAGCAGGCATCTTCCTCACAAGTCGGCAGGAGAGAGAAATGCAAGCAGGGGGAATGGCAAATGCTTATAAAGTCATCAGATCTTATGAGAACTCACCATCACAACAACATCATAGGGGAAACTGCCCCCATGATCCAACTACCTCCCTCCCTCGATTTGGGGCTTACAGGTACCTCCATCGACACATGGGGATTACAATTTGAGATGGAGATTTGGGTGGGGATACAGAGCCAAACCATATCAGACATCATCCCATTAATTCAGTTTTAATTATTAATACCTCAAAATGAATCTCTTTATCTCCTCCCCTTCTGCTTTCAGCCATTCTTTCCAAAAGCATGAAGCATAGTCTTCAGTATGTCCCTGTAGTTAGAAAGTTTCCTTCCCCTTGACAAATTTGATGGATTCATCTCCTTTCTTTAATTACAGCCAGTCTTGGTTACAAGTGAATCTCCTGTTGCCTTATTTCTATTTTATGTTGGATTGTGTTTCATTCCTTGTATACCTCTAGTGCAGCCTCACCCACTACTTAAAAATTATTTCCTGTTTACTTTTTCTTAAAGCATCTAGTTGGAGCATGGTAGAGTGTGAGCTCACGCTTGATTACTTCAACTATTTGGAGAATTAAGCTCCTCAAATTACTCTCATTTAGGATTTAATTTTATTTTGGAGATGTGTGCTTTACTCATGTGCTTCAAGAGATCCACGATTTATGAAGTACTTTTAATGCATTTCGTGCACTTCCCTAGGAATATGGCCTGCCAGAGACCTGGTGCTTCCTGGGGATAGTTGGCGTAGATTTGCACTACAGCAGTCATTAAATTAAAGTTCTTGCTTCCATGGAGCCAAATTGGAGTTTAGACTCTCCTTCAGCATGATGTTCCAAGTGGTACCATCAGTCCATGAGATGGCATGTGGCTAAAACTTCTGCCATCTGTGCACTAGACTTTGCTTTGGCTCAGCTGAGTGTGTTACTATTTCAGTGTTCATCTAAATGAATTGTTATATGACTAAAATATTATAAATACAAGAAATGGAGCTATATGTAATCATCATAAACTTCAAAAATCTTATAATAAATGTACAAACCCTCCATCAGTGACTTCCTTCTCTTTTTCTCACATTAAAACAGTACCTTGACTACTTATAACTTATTTATTTCCTATGCAGCCTGTGAGCTGACGGCAAGGACCCTACAAATGCCAGAATAATGACTGGTAAGTAAAATGGCTGCCTGGAAGATGAAAAGGCCACGATGGAACAGTTTTTAGGCAATGAACTCATGAACCTAAACTGAGCCCATCCCAGGCTCAGTGCTTTAGAATCCAGCACAGGTGAACTTACTCATAAAATAAGAGGCTAAGCCCTAAGGTGATGCAGATCACCTTAGTAAATATATATATATATCACTTATATATAGGTAATATATATGTAACATATATTACAAGAAAGGAAAATACCTTTTCTTCACAAACTCTGCAAGTTTATTGAACACACTGCCTGGTCCACAGGCTAGGATGTAGGAAATTGATCCTCATTAGGGTGAGGGAGGACATGCTTATGAGGAGAGGCAAATAGATAAATAAGTAAACTACTGCCCCCCGGATGAGGAAACTGCAATAAGTCGAGCACTCAGGCTTTGCTAAAGGGTATTTCTCATCATGTTAGTCATCCCTTCCGGGACACTGGTGAACAGAAAAGTAATAATCCCTTGACTGTACCCCTAACAAAGCTTCTGAAAGAGAAAATGGGAGAAAAAAAGAGAAAAGAGCCATGCATCAAAATAACATAAATCTTTTATTGAAAGTCACTTTACTGATGTTACAATGAGAGTAACATAGAAAACCGGGATATCTTATTAGCTTCAGAAGTGAATACTAATAAAACTGTGCCAGAAATTTGAACCTTAAGTTACAGTGACCTTTAAAAACATCAAGATTTTGTTTACCTACAATGTAAGAACAATTATAACTTGAACAGCCATAAAACAAATCACACTTGCTCAGGAAAGCAGTTGCCATATACATTCCCATTGGTGTTTGCCAGAACCCCAGTAATTATTAAAATAGCTTAACAAACCTGAAGTGCAGAGTGGCAGAGAAGTGTTGAAATAATGCAAATATAAGTATATACACATGATTACCTGATTACCAAAGGTGAAACCATGCTGCTATTAACAGCTCCCCATGGGGTGGCTTCCACAATCTGTAGATGGACATCACCTGCCAAAGGTGATAAACGTGGAAAACACTAGTGCTGACCTACTGCTGGCTAACATGTAAGCTACTATGTTTAGGTAGAACACCCAGTTTCTCAAAGAAGTATTTTGCAGGTGCTGGGGAGGGGCAAGTCTTCCAGCAAGTTAAAAAAGGAGTACATGCTTAGTTATCCTGAATATACCTTTTTTAAAGCACTTTTGCAGTTAGTGTAAAAAAAAAGTAAAGTTTTTCCATACAAAACAAAGGTGTTGGGTCATTTTTGCCCTTTAAAAAGACTGGTTGTAGAATCAGAGTTTGATTTTGTGCTGGATTGAAAAAGAAAAGTGGGGTTTCTAATCAGGCAGTGATACACATGTATAGTTTAGCAGGAACTTTTGTATTATTACTAAGAATTAATTCATATCAGCTGTTTCTGCATTGTGTTACCTTGTACAACTTAGCACCACTACATTTAAAGATTGGGGCTATTTGCATTATTTTAGAGCTTAACCATCCAACACAAATCGCAGCCTGAAAATTCATAAAATAAGAGGCTAAACTCTAAAATGAATGTAGATCAGCATATTATGTATATATGTATTACAAGAAAGAAAAATACCTTTTCTTCATAAACTCTTTGAAACTTTATTGATGATTCTGTATGTGCATTAATTTTAGTCTCATTGTATGCCTTTCTGTAAAACAAAACCAAAAACACACATATTGGGTGGTACTGATTTCAAGGATACTTAAAAACATGGAAATGATGATTACCTGATCAAAAGCCTGCCAGCCTTGAAGCCTCCCCGTATGATACAGGTTCTATGAACAATGTAACAGGGATGCATCAGGCAGGAGTGACCAATCTATCATGGACTGGACCACAAAGTATTCAGAGAACCAACACTAAATTGCCAAGCATGTCTGTCTTAGGCATCCAGCATCTCTCTTCCCACCACACCCTTAGTGACAATGTGTGCTCTCCTGCACATATGGCTTCAGGAATCTTCCTGTGGATTTCCAATCTGTCTATGCCAGGACTAAATGCCCCATAGTCTCCCAAAGTTCACTGCTTCTTATCTCCTCCCCATCTTGAAATTCACATTCTTTGGACTCCTAAGTTGAATAAGCTGCTAGTGTGCCAGTGGGTGAAGATAAAGATGCCTATCACCTTTACTCCCTAGGGCATCTTAGGGTTCTCCTGAGTGACAACTTGGCCAAAGGAACTGACATCCACAACAGAGAAAGTTCCTAGTCAGGAAGAAAGGGCTGCACAGCTACTGAAGGGGGAGCTACTTGGGAAGCAGAACTGTTCTGGAAGCATCCCTCAAAATCTCACTGTGAGAATGCTTACTGTTTGTCAGACCATAGAAATAAAGAACAAAAGTACTAGTTAGACAGGTTTTTGGTTTTGAATGTTTTGTTTTTTCTGCTTACAACCAGAAGATGCTCCATCTGAAGGACTAACAAAGCAATGAATAAAAAGTAGAAACACTGTCCTGTTTTCTAAAGTCCTGCTGCATCTTTGCTCTGCATCTGCAGATGCGGTAGAAAAGCTCCTCTTGGAATTAAAAGCATCTCCCCCACAGAGCATATGCTACAAGCATGTGCCAAGAATTCCCAACAGGTGTATTTTTAACAGCTGGGCTACTCACACACAGTTGGGATGGACTGCTGCTGCTCAGCCAATTTTTACAAGAGCAGACTAGGCCCCTCATTATATTATACTATCAACGGGAAACTGTCAAAGTCCATAGTCTTCCATGCCATGAGAAAAGTTGCTGCATCCAAAACCAGAGTAGTCTTATCCATTCAAAAAAACATCTCAGGAGGAAAAACAAAAACAAAAACAAAAACAAAAAAACATTTGAGCCCCAAATTAATCCCTATTCCATAGAAATGTCTGCTTCTTATACATCTTAAACTACACCAGCAAGAATGAGAAATTTATCTTGACTCCATACACTTAACAGCGTGGAAAGGTATTTAGGTGGCAGTTTTAGGAAAAAAACATAAAAATGAAAGGAAAAATATAATTAAGAACATAAAAAGTAGATATGATGCTGCAAATGGGAGTCAGAGCATTTCATGGAAAATTCATGCCAACTTACCAACTGGTAGGGTGATATTTACAATATGCCGCCCATGTGGGCATTCAGTGGCAGC